AACCTAAACCACAGGATGACTGGACTAAGTATGGCAATAACAAAATGGTTGATGCTTATTTCTTTTACTATTTTCTTTCGGATTATGTTTCCTTTTATTTTCTTTCTTTCAATTCGTTTTCACTTTTGGTCCAGTAGCCCTGGGTAGTTTTAGCACAGGGAAATGACCCCACAATCGTAGTGTCCAGCAGAACATTCTCTTGAGCCCTCTATGGTGGTCATTTTTCCTGGGCTGGGGTAAGCATCTAAAGTAGTGAGTTTCTCATTTCCTTTCAGTGCTCTGCGGGTGTTTCTCATGAGCAATTAGTTTTCTCGTCTCAGGTCATAGACAAGCTCAATGAAGAGAGTGTGTCAAATGGGTGACATTTGATGTGAAACCAAATTCAGGGAAAATGACCATTAGCTAGCTTTGGAAAAAGGTTGGGAGAAAAGGTTGCGAGATAAGGTTGGGGGCTTTCCAGGCATTATTTGGGTTGTCCTTTGTGTATTGTGCTAATATATTTGTATTTGGGTATAGTAACCTGTTGGCGATACTGGTGGCTTTAGTACGTGGAGGTGTGAAGACAGGGGTGTCTGTCCACACCTTAATTAATGCTACTGGGAAAGCAGGAAGAATAATGTTGAATATTCATGATCCTTTCGATGACACCATTAGTATTATTTAAGGGCATGATAATGTATGCAGGTGTGTTAGTTTGCCAAGAACTGGTTCATGAACAAAGTTTAATCCCCATTAGCTTGCTCATCAGGGGTGTCTGTACACACCTTAATTAATGCTAATGAGAAAGCTAGGAAGGATAAYGTACTAATCGTAGCCGACTTTTAATCAGCTTCCAAACTTACAAAAAAACTTCTACTTCAGAAAGGGTTTAAAAGCTCTAGCATTTATCATGTTTACGTATAATGTGCCAAAACAAAAAACTTCGATGGAAGATGAAGGGTCAATAAGATGCAACACCATTACTCTCAGACTCTGTTTGTGTATTGTGAAATCAAAGTGGAGTCGTGGTCAAGTCACCCAGGGTTACCAAACCAGTAGTATTTTCTACGTCGTAATAATTGCTGAAACCTAATCTAAAATGCCTTACAAATGTTTAATAAAGCTTTACTACTGCTAAATAAGTTATATATGTGTATATATATGTGGCTTGACAATTCCCTTAAGTAAAAAAATCTGGGTGACTTGACCATACATTGCGGGCAACTTGACTTCGACTCCGGGTGACTTGACTCCGCGCAACTTGACTCTCAGGCAACTTGACCATAATTCGATCTAAGTAGCTATTCAGTGTTCCGCATTTCACAGTGCAATCCACATAGCATGACATTGGTCAATTCTGCTTCAAGAAGAAAAGTTAGATCATCTCTTATTCCAGTCCAGCTAACAGAAAATAAATAAACAAACAAAAATCACTATTACAAAAATTACTATAACCATTTTTTTTTTTTATTTGTTTATTTTTTTGGATGGGAGGATGGGCGGACACACTGGTGGATAGATGAATATCTATTTAATGAAGAGATAAATCAAGAATTAGTGAGCAGTCAGAAACATTAATGATAACTGAATGCATAAGTGAATAAACAAATAAAATAATGAACAAGTGACTAAATGACACAAGGATACAAAGGGGCAGCTAGATGTACTTAATTTCCAATGTTTGCTTTGCTTCTGTTGAAACGATCTTTTATACACCCCATGCAAGCACCATTATCGCCTGAGATTCAAATGTGATTGATTTTATGTTATTTTTTGTGCAAAGTCTGATAATGAAGTAATTATAAAAACTGATCAAAATTAAACTTAGGAAATGTAGGGACTCAAAATCAAAGGATGCATTTTATACTAACCCTGACAGCTAAACAATATATACAGAAGTCTGTATCATATCCTTTTCCGCACAGAACATCATATATATATAKAGAGAGAGAGATTTGTAATTGTTTATGAATAATTCAAAGAATCTTTTTTCTATAGCAGAGGATTTAGTTGGTGTTGGTGTCAAGTCTAATGATTGGGAAGGCAATTATGTAATTGACTGGAAAAAAATAAAGAATTTTGATAGTGTATTGACAAACCTGCAAACTTCAGCTTATATTTCTTGCCATCACTTTCCATTCCCATCTTCTTTAGGACATTCTTTTGAGCATTCAACTGCTAAACCAGTGCAGTGATCTCTTTCCTTTTAGAATAATATATGGGACTAAAAATGACACACTTTCAGGATAGCAAATAATAATTAGAAAATAATAGAAACAAACTGAAAAAGAAAGAAAAAGGAGAAAATGATAAACATAAAAACACAGACAGACTGACAGAGGGATGAATAAAAAAGTAAAATGACTTGAGGACTCACTCCATTATCCACTGTTTTCTATCGTGTGTTATAGTAGTTTTTTCATTAAAGCCTACTGTTACACTTTCATTGTTCAGCCATTGTTTATGCCTTTTAACCAGGGGACGTATAAGGAACCGGGGAGGCGGCTGGTGCATTTTTATTTTCACTTGCATAAATTTTCTCCTCTATTGGCACCAGCCCCCTCCCTGTGAATAATAGCCGGTCTCTAAAGAGCATGAACAAGGATATACAAATAGAAATGAATGATATAAACAAGAAAGACAAAAAATCATCACAAAATCTTCAACTCTCATATGTGTAAGCACAAAAACAAGAAATTTCTTACCTATTTTCTTCACAATTAGCTATAACAAGTGAAAACACAGATTTGCAGCTTTGAATTTTCCAAGAGCTCAATGGCAGTCTTCCTACTAGTACTTGGTTTCTCCCTGGTGAGATTTATAAGCTTACATTTTTTCCCAATTGTTAGCAAAAAAGTCTCTCATAGTCAACGATTGAGGTAGTTTCAGAGATGATAAAATTATTACAATCATTATGCCAAAATCCTAACCTCCAAGAGTTCGACCATCCAATTTGATATTGACCTCTATTTCTTCCTTGTCATGTTTATGGAGTCRCTGCTCTCTGATGGCCAAGGCTAAGAAAGAGCGTAGATCAACTTCGTAAACTCGTTTGCTTGCTCCAGTGACCTTGTGTGCATTAATAGTTTCTTTTACTTTTTGTAAAACTAACTTTCTTACGGCTTTGATTTTGTTCTTCGTCAAGGGTAATGGAGTGTCACATGACCTCTGTACATGCAGTAGTAAAAAAATGTAAGTCTTATTAGCTTATTTAGTTGAAGACAGTGTTGATCAAATGAACAAATACTAAATAAATAAAGAGACCTCAAATACTGTAACGTTGCTCGTTCAGTAATAATGTGAAGTAATGCCTTTTTGGACTCAAAAAGGACTAGTATCTGATAGAATGGTCAGACTACGACTATCATACATTATATCTAAGTGAATGAGGAAAGAATAAACGATGCACATGCATTGTTTAAGTATAGGTTAATGTTTTTTTGCAAAGTTGATCACTCACAGGTAAAATAGCTTACAATTATTTAATTGTTATACATGGAGTTCATAAGGGAATAGCATTCAGGCTTAAAGAGAGTTAAAGAACCAGCTATCTAAAAAATAGAAAAAGTCATACATGCATACTTACTCCACTATGGCCGAGTTGTGCGATGTTTAACATGGTCTGCCATGTTTTGTCAGGCATTCTTGACGCAAGCTTGAAGTACAATTATACCCAGTCTGGTTGTCGCAATGACTTCATATTGCTCATCCATTTTTCATCTGACAAAACTGCCTCTAAACCTTCCTCGATTCCTTTTTGTTCTCACTGCAACAATATCGACTACCTCATCTAAAGTGTTGCGAACGCTTTCATCAGGGATTATCAGCAAGGATTCAGTGTCCAAGGATACTACCAATTCACTCGCGATGGCCTTCACAAATATTCTGAACCTCTTGGAATACTGACTTTGTGCAGTTTTCAACATTTCTTTTTTGTCGTATTGGCCGAAGTTCCTTACTGTTGAAGATTTCATTAAGGTTAGGCGACAAATCACTTTCCTGCAAATTAAGATCAGATTCTGGAGTTGGCGGGAAATTGATTGAAGGATTTGGCACACTAGGCAGAGTTTTACTAGTGATGATAGGCTCTGCGATCTTCCTTTTTAAAGCTGCCGTCGCTACTTCGATCTCATCTTTGAGAGAATTGATTTCCTCCTTAAGCTTCACCAACTGCGTTTCGAGATTATTGATGTAACTTGTTCAATTGTACACGTTAACATCAGTGGCCTTGAAACCCAAATTTTCTATATTGCATGAATTGATGTGGTCCACTATGGTGGTCTTAATTTCTTTTTTTCTGACAAATCCCTTCATATCTTGCTGCCAGAGCCATCCTCCTACTATCCCAAATGTAGTGGCAACGAATAAGTGGTCTTAGATCTTCCAGAATCGAAATATGTAGGCAGGCATTTGGCGTCATTTTCATACAGCAAGTCGTCGAGAGGAAGTCTTACGATATCATCTGGAAATTGCATTTGAAGCTATGTTTTTGTAAACCATTTACATGGTCCACCACACATTTCATTCCACRATTCATGTTGACAAGATTCTAAAGGTAGTACCAAGTTTCAGGGTTCATGTTGACAAGACTATGAGCATTGGCCGGCCGGCATCGTATCTAAACTATAAGGCGTTAATCCTTTTTACGCTTATAAATAAAACAATAGGAAAATAGATCACATTTCATATCATGCTGTGATTTACCGGGCTTTCAAAGTATGTTATTTCATTTTTTAGTCGCCTAATGCTTGTCATGGTTACAAAATCAGTTGGCAGACAAAAGATTGTAAAAAATAAAAAATAAAAACCGTCCTTTTTTTCACGAGGGTTGCACTTAAAAGGCCAAGGTGTTTGCGACATGATAGCTGTTGCCAAAAAGGTGAATTGGAATTCAGGAGTTGGTTTTTGAGGAGGGAGGAAAACCGTAGAAAAACCCTCCAAGCACAGGAGAGAACCAACTAGAAACTCTGCTCACATACAACACCAAACCTGGCCGGACTTGAACTTGGGTTACATTGATGACAGGTAAGCTCTCTGACCGCTACGTAGCTTATGTACAACTTTTCAATGTGATAGGAAATTTAATATTCCCAAGTTACATGTACAAGTCGGGACTTACAAGTCCACACCTTAGTAATCATGCTAACCATGCTTGTTTCAATTATGACTGTTTTATGTTTCAATTCTGTGCAACAATAAAATAACAAAGAGTTTCCAAATGTTTTCCTGTATATCTACAGTAAAATCCTGCATTAAAAACACCCATTTTTGGAGTTGAGGCTGATTTTGTTCTTATTTAACGGGTTTTTTCTGAAAAATCAGCTTGAAGGTGTTCTTAAAATAAATGTTTCTAAAATATATACAGAATTACTATTTGACCGCAAACCGGTTGAGCATCGGACTTACGTGTGGGAGTTTGTGGTTCGAGTCCCGGCCAGATCAACACTCAGGGTCTTAAAATAACTGAGAAGAAAGTGCTGCCTTTGTAATTACATCTGCCAATGGTTAGGCTTTCAAGTGGCTCGGATGACCACTTTAAATGGCAGTCCCATCTCTCCACACTAATCAATACTAACCAACATCGGAGGGACGTAAAAGAACCACTGAGGGCGTAAAGAAACCCTGGCAGTGACCACCCTCAGTGCCTACACTTCATACTAACCATCTCTCATGCTTGTAAATTGCATAAAAAGCAATCTGTCATTAACAAATCAATGTAAAGCGCCTTTGATTATATTCATATATAAAAGGCGCTATATAAAATATTTTCTGATAGCTTTTTATTTCTGGTTTTTAGACTTTTTTTAGGTCAGAACATGTTTTATACCATGGCCTGGCCGTATGAAGTGTAGATAGCATTTACCAACAGATAAATTATATCCAGTGGAGAAATTTATTGGATAACCGATTTGTCCACTGGACAAGAATTTTTTCTTCAGATAGGGCTATCCACCTATACATGTATTTTATTCATAAAATCAATGTCTACGTAAGGCCCCGTCCACACTTTGCCGGATAAATTTGAACCCGAATTTTTATTTATTCGGTTAGGCCTACCATTCACACTAGTCCGGGCGAATCCGGAACAATTCTTCACCGAAAACGAATTTTCGAAATGGAACCGAATAAATAAAAATTCGGATTCAAATTTATCCAGCATAGTGTGGACAGGGCCTAAGATTGGGGGTCAAAATAAAGGTGAATACTTTAAATTTTTCTTTGGAATCCTTGGAACACTTATAGAATGCAGCCGTTTTTAGGGTCGTCACGCAACGTTCTGCGAGTAGAGGATTTTTTTAAACCCTCTCCCATCTCCCAACGGTCGTTCGTATCATCTCTTTTCCCTTAAAAATAGCTCTATTCCTTTGCTGCAATAACTAAAGTAACTTGTTATCCCCTCTACTATAAGATATTGAGCTTTAACGCATGAGTTTAGTAAGAATTTCAAGTGAGCATGTAGCGCGGGAGCCCGCTCAACAAAATGGCGCCTAAGCATTTTCTTAGCTCCTTACGATATTTTAAGGAAAAACTTTGAGGTTTCATTATTTCCACAATAAAAATAACACTAAACGTACTTCTTGCTTTTATGTTTTAAAGAAATTTGAGTCTTGCAAGCTTAATCCTCATACCTTTCTCTTGATTTCTCTGAAGTGGCAGCAACTCCAACAAACCCTGCAACAAACCCAAGCACATGTGCAAGCTTTGGTGCATGCTGGGACAGCCGAAGGCTTTACACTAACACAGGGAGCCCATGCATATACATACTATATATGTCGCTTTGAAAACAAAAACAAGAACAAAATGATATAAAATGATAACTTAAATCCTACATTCTGCATGGACAGGAACATAACTGAAATAAATGATTAGTTACGAACCAATACATGATGATTCAGAATTGAAGGATAATACAAGCGTCGTAAAAAGAAATCGATAATATTCATAGGATATATTGCATGTGTATAACATCTTCTTTTCCCCGTGGTTTTTGTTCGTTTCTCCAGAAAAAWAATAATTAAATGCGTAAGTTTTAATCATAAGCAGAATTTGCTTCTCCCCACCCCTCCCCTGCACAATTTTAAATATCAGTCATAATGTAAATATTCTTACTCGCTGAGAAAAAATACCTTTCCTGAATCATCAGTCAACCTTGCTTAAGATATCATTATCATATTGAGCTGTATACCACGTACCATGTTCAATGAAGAGCTCATCCGCGCCTACATGTAAGAATCCCCTCCCTTCCGGTGACAGGCTTTGAGTAAATGTTTTTTTCTTGCGATATGCCGCTGTGCCTAATGATCGTACCGGTAACTCGTTGGTAGCCATGTTTGGAAAATTTCAGATTTGAGGCTTCATATTCACTAGAATATTTATTTCATTTTTACCTATTACACTATTGCTTGAATAGCGTCACAACAACTGAAAACAAACGAGGAGGAATTGTGAGGAATACTTTGAATCTTTGTCTTGGGAAGGCTTGTGGAATTCTCTTTCGTATAAAAAAACTCACACCGGCCGACTAACCTGTCCTCGCGAAACCATGTGGAATTATTGCAAATAAAAACCTTCGAAGGTGTCTTTATTGTCAAAGTTCTCCGTCCGTCTCGGAACCAGTAGTTTGCGTAATGGCGACCAATGGAACATTAAAGAAGGGTGTGGATGAAAGCCAGAAGGAGAAGGACAGATCGACTTCCGTTGATGAGCTGGTGGAAAAACTGGAAGAGCAAAACCGGTAAGAATTAATTTGCTTCCCTGTAGGTGTGCTCTTTCCCCTCCTTATATCGAATTAAAGCATACTAGTGTATTCAATAGCTTTCTTGATAAGCAAAGTGAAACAATATATGTTCACGTCTTTTTGTTTTTTTGTGATGCACACTGCATGCACAATTCAAATGATTCTGAACTTCTTTTTCCTCATGACATTACTAAGTTAATGAATAATTTAATCTTTGTCAGTTGTCAAGAAATCGTACATTCGTAAAATACTTTGATCCTTGACATAGCTCATAATAGCTGGTTAACTATAAATAAGATGATTATTTTTTGACCTCCACTGTAATATCGTAACATGGATTACTCAACCGTGAAGTGGATTGTTTTCGCATGTAACTTGATCAATGGAGTCATTGTTCAAGGAGCCGTCGTTTTGTAATCAATAATAATTATTATTATCTTTATTTTTATTGCCTTTTTATTTTTATTTCTTTTATATGTTTTTATATGACGTTGTTTTGACTGTGATTTTTTTCAATTATTCTTGAAATTCTTTATTTAATAAAAAAAACAAGATTACGGTATTCTTTATCATTACTTGGGGACGTCTTTTGGAAAAATTTTTCGATTGAACGTCTCATCTTAATCTTTAAAATACCTTTTTTGATAAAGTCTGTATTTTATAATGAAGATTGACTTACTAGATAGTATAGGTTTTCATCAGCAAATAGAATGAATCAAGTTACTGGGAGAAAAAGTGGTCAAAATTTTAAAATTTCTTTTGATTTCGACCGGCAGCTTCACACCTTTCAAATCTGTTGATTACTTGCAAATAGAGCAGATTTCCTATGATTGGGTAAGAATATGGAAAATTGTTAACTGAACTTTAGCCTCTCAATCTGTATACAATCAATTCAAAAAATGTTGTCGTTGACCAACTCAAGCTTATGCGACTGGACCGAAAGGAACTCTGGGTAGCAATCATTGAAGCCGAGTTGACTCAAGCTCAAACCTTTGTAGGTGAGCGGGAAGTGTTGAAGGAGAAGTTTTTTAATGCCTTCATATTTTCAGAATTGTGAACTGAATCATAACTACTTTGTTTTTCTTTCCCTAAACCTGAAGACATGCATTTGATGTATTATTATCTTATTACTAGCGGGAACAATTAATTCAGAACAAATATTTAACCRCTTCAGTGAATTTTACCCATATTTCTTTCGGTCCAGTCGTGTAGGCTTGAGCCGGTCGATGAAAACGTTTTTTGAATTGACTGTATGTATGTGAGGGACCTAAGAGAACCACTGAGGACCTAAAGAAACCCTGACAGTGTCCAACCTCAGTGTCGGGGCCTTATCCTGACCATCTCTTATGTTTGTATTTTGCATAAAAATAAAGGCAATCTTAAATCATTATCCTGACTATCTTACCTTATAGACTTATTCCATAAGTTGGTGTTTTGGCTTGTTTGTCAATTCTGAATTACCACCACAACCCAAAAAGGAGCATTCCATAAGTTGGTGTTTTCGCTTATTTGTCAATTCTGAATATCACCACAACCCAAAAAGGAGCAAAAACTATGACTTATGGAATCAGTCCATAACTATAATGTGTAGTAATCTATAAGATAACTACTCGATGTCAATATGTCATCTCAATGATATGGCATGTTGTACTTATTGCATGTGTTGCACATAATACAGTACACATGGATATAAACTATTACATAGGGTGTATTGCGACTTGTTTTGCTTTTAAAGTCTTGTAGAGTGCAAACAGTATATCTGTGGATTAGTTCGTATGTAATATTCATTTGCAATCAGTAGCACTGATTAAACAAGAGAAGAAAATGAGACAATAGACATTGCACTTCTTTGTACTGTTTGTATCCACTGATAGTAAAAGTAATGGGTAGGGGCAGCATGGGTGGCGTACTCTACTAACAGGTTGTCTTTCTCCCCCTGTAAGTCCAGCGGGTTGCGTCGCTGGTTCGAGCCCTGTGATCATCACATGTGAATTGATTTTGCTTGATGTGTTGTTGGCAAGTCTAGTGTCGTAACCATGCATTCTGTTGATAGATACAAAAAAATCATTGAAAGCTGTTGGCAAACTACCTGAATGAATTTTAAGAATCTCAACTTATAGAATAGAGGACTAGAGTGAGCTCTAAAATCAGAAAAGGTCGTTGAATGTTTTACAACAGTACATTTAGAACTCGCAGTGGATAAGCCACTTCATAGAGAGCATTGGAATAGTGAATTCAAGTATGGAGTTTATCTTTAGAATTTCCTACTATATCCACAGGTTTAGGAAATCTTTTTTGGGGGGGGGGAGGGAGAGACCCCAACCTATTTTGATTACAGGTACCTATTTTTTTTCCATTTTAGGACAACCCAATCTTTAACAATGGTTCCAATTTTTGTTTTCTTTTTGAACACAAAATGTTTAAACTGCTTTACATGTCATGCTGTTTTTTGGGTCTTATTCTAAATAAAACTTATTGAGCCAAAATAATGTGTGATGACAGTAATAACTCAATCATAAATTGTATTGACAGTTATAAGTAGCACAATAATGGATATAAATATTTACAGAAACATAAATATAATAGACATAACATGGACTTGTAATATAGATTAAGAATGATAAAATCACTCCCTTCTTATAAACTAACCCCCACTAGTCCAACTCATAGCTACCTCCCCCCTTGTATGTAATAGAAACGGCAGATTAGGCCAAACAAAAAATAAGTGTGTTTCCCGTTGCGTGGCTGACCCTAATTTTCTTGCTGATTTTTGCCGACCCTAATATTTTTTTCATTCCCAAATGCACCACAGGGTTCCCAGTAAGCTCATTTCCATTGTTGTATCAGTAAAAAAAATCCAACCTACCGACCCCAAATATTTTTCTCATGCAACAGGAAACACACTTATTTTTTAGGTCTTTAGCACTATTTCAGTGTTTTGTCTAATATTGTATGTCAACTATACATAAATGTACTAGTTAGTGTATTATTTATGTAATGATAACTATGCATGTTTATCAATTATCAAGGTTTAAATTAACTGATCACAAGGTTCAAGCATGTAACCCTGCCCCGGCCCAACCCATGCACAATTATTTCATTGATTTTTAAGACAGTTTCGTTTTAAAAACATATAACYTATCTAATTGCCTTAAGCTCCAAGGAAGGGCATTATATGTCTGAACACCACTAATGCTAAAGCTATTTGTAGTTTGTTTGGCAAGTGTTGGGCACAGCAGTATATTAATATAATAAGGATGACATCTTTATGATTATAAAGATTGCCTTATAGGTATTCTTTGTACAAAGAATACTAGTGAGGATGACCTTATCACATATTAATGTACATCCATTTTTTTTATGAAGTCTTAGAGTCTTAAAAAGGTCTGTCTCGCATGTACAATCACTTACTACCTGTGGAATCTCTTCAASTAGCTACCCTGACCAGTCACATAAGCCTTTGTTTACACTAAAATATAAGTCTTGTGCTGATGTGAACAAAAAGTGAGGTACCAGAGTTTCGGTTTTGATGACAAAAAAAAGCAACATATTCATGCCAAATTACAGCATTTTATAGTTCAGTCTGTATGTAACCAAACATAGATTGATCACACTCCAGTGCTAATAAACTCATAAAAATGCTTAATTCCTTTCAAATGCATGAAACAATAAAAATTTTGATTAATGTACCAAGCTTGGATGAAGCACTGGCAATGGAATTAACCAAATTATGTTTGATATCCTGATGCTTGATTAAAATTATAAACTATTAGGCTTTATTTATTTCCAGCCCAGTATCATAAGAATAGTGCTTTCTGATTGGCTGTTAGAGGAGGAGATATATGGCATTACTAAACAACAACAAAATATATAAAAAGGTGGAAAAGCAAATGAAAAAAAACACGTCATTTACCAGCCAAAAGGCAGTCCAGATATGGATAAACAATTGGATAAACTGTGTCATCATCCTTGAAAACAGAACTTAGCCTACGCTTTGGATCCTTTATTCAAGACCTTAAACGGTACAGTTTTTAAGAATCTTGACCTCCTTAACTAATGAATAACCTATATATAGCTGTGAAATAAACTCATTCCAAAATATAATATGATTCTTTAATTAAAAATTAACAGTTAACAGCAATTAAAAACACAGACACACAGGCCTCAATTAAAATGACTTGCAAGTCAACACAAAGTTTTGCGTTGTATCTTTAATTTGGCTCATGCAACAAAGTCATATAAATATTAGTGACTAACATTCACAGATAAGAAAAACAGAAAAGAAAACAATGGGATTATATCTGCTTCGTTAACATCATGCTTGGGCACAATGTTCATTATGAATTTGGTGTTTATCAGTGTCTAGTTGTTTGTTATCAACTAGTACTAACTAAATAGTCCTTTTTCTTTCACAGGTTAAATAACATCACTCTATGACATCACATTCATTAACATATTTGAAGTATAAACCTACTCATCCGGGGGGGGGGGGGTTCTCCCATATATGAACTATACGGGGATGATCTGCTGAGCAGGGTATGGTTTTTCGAGCTTCTTGTCATAAACAGGGTATGCAATTTCACACAAATTCCACATTCTTCCTGAGTTTCCTGTCATATTCAGGGTTTCTACTTTTGTATTGACCGAAACTGGTTATTATGGTCGTAAAAAAACGATACGCGAGATGACATGATGATTGAAACAGGAACTCAGTGCATTAAATTATATCTTTTGTCATAAACAGGGTCTACAAATTAATTTGAGCTTTTTGGTCATAAGCAAGGTACCCCTTTTAAAATCCAAGCAGAATACCCCTACTTAAATTCTGGCAGAATACATCCCCCCCCCCCCCCCCCCCGGGCATTATGGAAGGTTTTTTTAATATAATGAAGGAGCATAAAGATGTTGAGGTTTTTAAAACCCCTGATTTTTGAACCTGGGTTTCCATCCCCAATGTGTAGCAAAAATATTACCAGGCCTCCATTACCTTACCTTCCCGAAAATAAGCCCCCCCCACACACACTTTCTGAGAAAATTTAGGGCTCCCAAATGACTTCAATATTTTGTCTTTTTCTGTTTAATTATTATGCATGGAGCATATAAGTAAAAAAAACCTTAGTAATTATTGACCAATCCTGATACAGATGTATCAGATATATTGTTGACATTTCGTTACACGATCCCTGGTTTAGAATATCTGACACGTCAAAAATGCAATGGGCTTTAATAAGATGACTTGAGTATGAGTTCCTTATAAAGCTATGTTTTTATGGAATTTAAAATGAAACGAAGAAACTCAGCCTCGAAAAAGGCAAAAACCTTACCAAGGTAAATTTAATACTGACAACATTTCGGCTAAAAGCGGTGCATAATTGAATAATTGTGAGGAAGCATTTGAAAGTTGAATACGTTAAACCGTGATATATAATGGTTGTTCTTTCAAATAATTTCGTCTTCCTCACTTAAAACCATATTAGGCCAATCTCCAATAGGGCGCAGCGGTACTTCTGCTCGTAATTTACATTTTAGTAAAACTGTATTATTGTGTCGCTTATAAGCAGTTTGGAATTTTCGTTTTGAAATAGATTAATAGGAGTGTAATTTTCGAAGGAAAGAAAACAAGACCAGCAGTGATGTTTAGTCATTGCCCTCAAATATTTATTAGGCTAAGGAGCAAGCTCGCGTGTGGAACTCGATATGATATCTTGTTATGATAAAATARCGTGTGACTCTTTCGGTTTTAAAATAAATCAAAGAATACTCAGCTTCAGCTTCAATTCATAAAAGATTAGTTCATATTGAAACGCGAAATTTCAACTTATTTTGGAAGCCATTTGATAAAGCTTTAAACTAATAGTTTATATCGTATAAATAATCCTTTTGATTTATATATATTTGATTATTTTTACAAGAAACAAAAAAATACAGTCACAGCAGAAATGATTGCGGGTTGCAGCATCTCCCCATTCCTCTCCCTCTCCCATTAAACACTACCACCATCTTTGTCTACGCTCACTGGTCTACACGGCCGGTGTCTAACAAAACTACTTCTGAATTACRACAATACGATCTGTGAAGAATAACTTTGCTTACCATCTTTTATTATTCCGAAAAAAAAATTTCTCAAAAATTTATTGCTTATTTTCAATTTGTTTCCATAATTTATTATTCTTTTTTATTTTTTTTATTTTTTATTTTTTTCTTATTCAATATTGTTTTTTCAATTTGCCATTTTTCATTGGGCTTCAATTCCTTAGGGTGCAATAATTCATCATTCCAATGCATTTTTAGACCGTTATTCATTATTCTGTCATTGTTCATTATTTCTTTTATTTGCTTCTTCATTCTGTAGAAGCAAAATTGGCGCTCATTAGCTAGAGGAAAGTTCAGTGTTAATTGAAAAATGATTTATTGTTAGTGATTGGTCATGACAATTTGCGTTACTGTGTAATCAGCTTTGTCTAGTCCCTAATATTTTTATGATTTAGTGTTCGCTAATATCTCATGATTATATAATTGTCCTTTTATCGATATCAGTGTCGGAAATGAGTCCTACATACACTTATTTCAATAAAGTTAGTCACCTGAAAAGCTATAAAGCTGAGGCCGACAAGGATTATGGGTAGATTCATTTTACACGTTCAACCGCTCGATAACTGTTCATGGACTTGCGAATCTTTTACCGGTTACAGTCTTACCTCTTCTGAGCATCATCGAGCTGCAGTTTGTATTAAAAAAGCTTTGTGTATGTATGCTTTTTTGATATGAAAAGTTTCCCATGATGCTCAGTAATCTCAGCTTTCTAGGTTTTTGGTGACTAACTTTATTTAAATAAGTGTATATGTTTTATGTATCCAAACTTTTTTTCCAGATTATTAACGAACGATTCACGTGCTTTAACCTCAATTCCGGACACTCCCAAACGATGGTCAGTTCAAAGCGGGTCAGGCGAACCATTAACGCCCGAAACACCAGAAAACTGTGATGAGATTTGTGATGAAGGAGATGATGTGTACCTCGAATGGGGTCAATTGATGAGTAACTGGGAGTATGCTGTGAAGAAGAAACCTAAAAACGTTCGAGACATGGTGCGGAAAGGAATTCCTAATGCCTTGCGAGGACTGGTGTGGCAACTACTCTGTGGTGCAAGGGACTCCCCACTAAAAGATGAATACCCCAAACTCATAAAGGTATTCATAATTTTAGCAAAAGTAACATCGGTGAAATATGCTCATATTGCGTTATCTTTTGATTGGGTAGTTATTCATATTCATTTAGGAGTTGTTGCATTGGCGCATACAAGAGGGCAGGAGATCCTAAGGCGTCTGTAAACTCCCTTCGCATGGCATGTGTTTTGGCATGCTCCCACTCCCTGGTCACGCTTCCGTTACTCATCTCAGTTTATCAAATCCGTATTCTGATCTTTTAACAGACTAATTCAGCATGTGAGCGCATGATCAAACGGGATATTGCGCGCACCTTTCCTGACCATTCATTCTTCAAAGATAAAGATGGTGTCGGGCAAGGAACACTCTTCAACGTTATAAAGGTATGTCGATGAATCTTTGTGTATCTTGCGTGACGTAACTGGACATAACTGAATAGTGACCATTCTGTGATATCTGGTGTTACATATAGGGAAGTGTGGGCGGTGTGCGCTTCTAATGCCCCGCCTGTGCCCAATACTGCCTGGCTCGGAGTCATGTGTGCGTAGGGTTGTTGTTGGTACTTTCTTGTGCTTCAAGGGTTTTTTCTCCGGGTTCTCCGGTTTTTCCTCCCTCCTCAAAAATCAACTTCTAAATTTTAATTCGTTTGATCGCCTGCTTATCGTAAAAACTGTTGGGCATTTCGCAGTCCCCTGGAATGGTAAATCACATTAGATGTTGTTCGGTCTTCATCAAAAGCTTGTGTTTTTTTATTTATATATTTTGTAGGCATATTCAGTATACGACAAGGAAGTAGGTTACTGTCAAGGCAGTGCCTTTATCGTAGGAATTCTATTGATGCAGGTATGAAAATGTGTTTGAAAAATTATGTCATTTTACTAAACGCAAAAGAGCTCTACTTTGCCCTGCTCTACCAGTCCACGATATCTTTCTTTTCTTATTGTCTTAATATATATTTTCTATGATTAAGTCCCAAAATTGTTTTTACTAATCTACATTAGCAAAAATAGATATATTTTCGTCCCTTCATTTTCACATCCCGATAATCAGCCATCAAGATTTGTTAAAACTAAAATTGGATTCCTTTTTAAATGAACCTATCTTTTCTTTCTCCCTTTCCTTTTTTTCCCCTCTCATTTAGATGCCTGAGGAAGAAGCATTTTGCGTCTTAGTTAAACTAATGCAAGACTATCGAATGAGAGAAATCTTTAAACCCACGATGGCAGAATTAGGTTTATGTATGTATCAACTAGAAAATTTATTACAGGTACGTATTCTGGGCTATCCTGGGCAAATGAGTTAACTTTCCACTTTCTTATAATTTTTTTCTAATTTTTTCCAATTTTTTCCAATTTATTCATATAGTCTATATATTTAATCCAATTTAGTATATCTTTATTTATTCTAAGTATATTTTATAATTTATTCTATATGGAATCCCTGGTGTTGTCAAGCACTTTAAACATGAGCCCCAGGCTCGGGAGATTGGGCGACCACTCCCTGTGTTATTGATGTCATATAAATTATCCTTATCCTAATCCTAATTAAATAAAACGTTGTGTATACAATATATAGATGATACGATGTTTGAAAACACAGAAAAGCGTACAGACGGAAGTATGTTTGGTATCATTCTCGTAAGCCATTAGACTAATATTTTATGACCGCCACTCGATTGCTCGGTTGGTTGAGCATCGCACTGTTGTGCGGGAGGTTGTGGGTTCAGGCCCCAGCCGAACAAACACCCAAGGTCTAAAAATAACTGAGGCTGCGTTTGCACGGTACCGGATTGTACCGGACGAATTTTTAACAGCTAAAAAAATTGTAAGCTTAGAGGTTCCGTTCACACGGGACAAAAGGTCGTACGCCTAGTTTTGCAAATTTGATCTGGTTCCGTATACAGCTAATTTMATAAAAGGTTGAATACTGAATTAGCTAATACTGCATACTGAACAGACCATTCCAAGACCGAAATACATTGTGAGTTATAGTGACATTGCTAAAGTAGGATTAAGAATTATCATTTATTCTATTTTTAGTGTATACCATCTGAAACAATATACTAACTACAAGTAGAGAGTTATTACTGTATATTTTAACTTTTTATTTCGAATTAACGAGAGCCAAATGAAATACCTGTAAACAGAACGTGAACGTCAGATTTTCGACCGGTTTAAAATTCGTCCAGTACTGTGTAAACGCAGCCGGAGAATGAAGTGCTGCCTTTGTAATTACATCTACAAATGTTTGGTCTTTCGATTGGCTCGGATGACCGCTTTAAGTGACGGACCCGTCTCTCCACACCTTCATCATGACTAACCAATATATTAGAGGGACGTAAAAGAAGCACTGAGGACGTAATGAAACCCTAGCAGTGAATACCCTCAGTGCCTATACCCATATAATACTAATACATTATAGTTTACATAGTATTAATATTAATTATTAATATCAACACTTATACAGCAATACATATTTATAAGTCATTATAATATCTATTGAAAATTACCTAGAAAAGGGTAAAAATCGAAATTTTATGTTAGTGGAAATAAAAAGGATGAAAAATTAAGATATATTGTACCCCTTCTTAAAAAACCTGATGTTACCTCATAGTATCCACCTCTCATAAATTCATAACTCATTGTAATACGCCTTTAATCATATCCATTTGTAAAAAGGGCGCTGTATAAATCATAAATTCTAATCATATGTTATATTTGCCAAATTTTCTCTTTCTTTTTAGGAGAATCTTCCAGAGTTATTTGCGCATTTTCAGGCTCAGGTACTAACATGGAGCTGATAAACATACTTAATTTACGTATATGTCAATTCTGTTAACGCAAAATGATATATACCCTGCGAGCAGAGTCTCCTTTTAACTCCTATACGGGCGAGAGAAGGAAAGGAGACTCTGCAGAAATCGTGTACAATTTTATTTGAGCATGCGCAGCGGTTGCTAAGAAACTAACTCGTTCACAAGCTCACTCGTCTTATAAATGGTTTCCGGCTCCTGTCCGAACACGATTACCACTTAAAACATGTTTTTAGAGTCATGACCACAGTGAAAGATGATCTCGCGTTCTTCTTTCACTGCTTCAATTTCATCAAACTTAGCAGACTGAAGCACTATTTTTTCACAAACGGAAATTTGGTCGCTCATCAGTGCCTGGAGCGGAGTTATTGCCACCAAAAGAGGATTTTTAGGGTATCGRCTAGTGTTTGGATCGATTTCTTGAAGATGTTTGATCATCGGAGTTACAAGCTGGAAAATAAGTGACTTTGTATGACCTGTCGGCAGCGAAACAAATGGGTCTTTGGCATCCATAAAACTTTCTAGCGATTTCCTTTGATGAGTAATTGGTTGAAATTGATTTTTGTTTTGATAAAACGTGATATAGATCGCTTTCGAAATTACAGTTTGGGATACGATGCGGGCTCAATTTTGGTCATCGGCCATATTATTTAATACAGACTCGCGCATCAAAACCAGTTTAAACCAGTATGAAACCTGAAATTATGCATCTCATTATCCAGATTCTTGGATAACGGCACTACAAAAGAAATACACGATTTCTGCAGAGTCTCCTTTCCTTCTCTCGCCCGTAGAGGAGTTAAAAGGAGACTCTGCTCGCAGGGTAAATGATATAGTATATAACATGTGGCATTAGTAGGTCTTCATTTTCAATTCTAATGTAGGATACACCCAGCCATCAATATGCGATGTCAATAATGTTAAGCTTATTATCGTTTCCAGAGTTGCGCAGCGCATTGCATCATGGAGCAGTTATAATGAGGAAACGCTGTAATTAATACTCGTGGCGTCTTTTTTGATTGCTGATAATGAAAAGTGAAAGAAAACTTTAACCTTAATTGTTGTATTAATTTTTCCAAGTTTCTTTCGTTTCTGGATGCATGAAATGTCAACTGACTGATGAAGCAACCCTTAAAACAGCCCCATAATGCAATGTATTTCTGCAACCCGGCCTAGAAGGGCTAATATATTCATAGTCAAGTATTGCTGCAATAACATTTCGTATCGCGATGCGGCTTCTATAAGTTTGATCGGGAGAAAGCCGTCAATTAAACCCGTATTGTCGGCTCTAAATTATGTCGCGATAGGAGAATCGCGATACAAGGCTTATCTTTTGCGATTTTGAGTCACCAATACAGGTTTATATTGTACATTTGAACAAAATATAAACCCGTATTAACAGCTTAAAATCGCAATTAACTATAGTTATTACGAGTATAGCACTTTACACTGATTAAGGCTGGCTTTGGTAGATCTTTATGTTAAATTACAATGTAGGTTACGCACAGACATTAACGTTTATTGCGATCCATGATTTTAAGGCTTTATGTTCCAATTTATATTGCTGTAATAACACTGATCTAATTTTTGTTTTTTCATTGTGTTCAGGGATTCCATACTGCTATGTATGCATCATCTTGGTTCCTGACTCTTTTCGCTTCTGTTTTTCCACTTAACTCTGCTTTTAGGGTGATGGACATTTTTATTTCAGAGGTAACATAGCTGTACTTTCATATTATCAAATTTGAATTTCAAAAAAATAAAAGATAGCTTCCAAATCAATGCAAAAAACAACAAGTTTCCTTTTTCTTTTCCTCTTCGATTTCCTACAGGTCATGAGTTGGTAAAACTTAGATTTGTAGTCATAGTGATAATGTTGCACTTTATATGTTTTATTTCTATATTTTTTATTTCCATTTCCCTTTTTAGAATCTTATCAAAACAATCAATCATACAAATAAACTATTAAACAAGAGAGACCTCAAATTTTTTATTTATTTATTCTTTGAGTGTTTGATAAAGCTCTTCATTATACTCCAGTTTCGAATACTCTGATTTTCAGGGATACCCTTTTTTATTATCAATGTTTGCAGGTGTTTAAAACTTATTCTCCTCGCACATCAAAACTGCAGCTGATGAAACTAACGGATTCCATGGTTTTTAAACTTCTTCATTTTTGTTCTTCTCTTCAGGGTCGTGATGGATTATTTCGCGTCATTATGGCCATTTTATTGTGTAGTCAAGAGGAATTATTGCAGCTTGACATGGAGTTTATGCTGAAGGTACAAGATGTGTACTCTCAATCTCGTACCCAGAGACTGCGTTTCTTCTGGCCTGCGGCGAAGAACGAGGCTATGTCATAATCCATTTTTGGCGCATGCCCAATTTTCCGGAAGTGAAACAAAATCAATTAGAAAATCATGCTTTCAAACGGAGTTCTGTTTTAATTCCGATCAAAATAAAAATTAGAAATCGGGAGCATACTTTTTTTCTTTTTGCCAAGTCTTTGAACGCATGCCGCGCTCTTATACTGGAAGTCCAAGAAAACCTGGTCTCAACAAAATGGATTATACCAGAGCCCTCGGTTCTTCGCCTCGGGCCAGAGGAAACACAGGCTCCGGGTACTCTATCATTCCCAAAATCGTCATTGAGTAACCTGAAATTATGCATATTTTCTTGACAGTATTTTCAAAAAGAAATGCCGGAAAAATATGAAAAAGACATGGATTCCATAATGAAAGTAGCATCTGACTTTAAGGTCAATTCCAAGAAGATGAAAAGGTTGGTTTAAGTAATAAGTATCTTTGTCGTTAAAATTAAGTACCCTGAGTTGTTAAAGTAAAGAGATGAAGTTCTATTTCCTGAATCATCTTTGTTACATAGCAATGGTACTCAAGCTGATGCATCTTAATTCAAAGTCGAGGTTAATACTCGGAATGCTTGCACGCTCGATGATGATGGGGAAAAGCATTTATCGGCAACTTCAGGGCTCTTCAGAAATACAAAAAATAATAATATGCACTGACTTCTCCGTTTACGTCCACTGTAATTCGATTTCAAAACGCTCCGTTTTCGTGGCATGGGTGGTTTAAAGCTCGCCTCTCACCGCTGTGTTCTGGGTTTGAGCCCCGACTCGGGCTTGATCATATGTGAGGTGAGTTTGTTTGATGGGTTGCTCTCTCCCATGTCATGAGGGTTTTTCTTCATGTGCTCTGCTTTTCCTCCCTCCATAATAATCAACATGTGAATTGAGCGTTATAATAGTATGTTGTAAATATAAAATGTAGTGGTAGAGCGTGTGGAGCGAACCTCACGGAAGAGAGGGTACGGGGAGTAATGGTTGTGAAATATACGTTTTCGTCTCGAGAGGCATTGAAACCTTTGCGTCCACACGAGATGATCAAAAACGCAGAAACGATTGGAAATGATACAATATTGTCATCTGCGCATGCGAAAAACAGACGTGCCAGCGCTTATGTCGTCAGTGTTTTCGAAAGCATCCGTTTTTCAAATGTATGTTTTTTCGTTTTAATGACGACGCAAAGCTGAACGCATCGAAAAGTATGCGTTTTCAAACGAAAAACACATCAGTGTGGACGGGGCTTAAATTTTCACGAATAAAGCTAATGCTTTGTGAACGTTTGAGAATGGAGAGTGCTGTTAGGTTTTACTTAAGGTGCTGACACACGGTGCAACATTGTACACAACAGGACTGTTGCAGCGTGTGTCTACCCCAAACTTGTTCCACGCAACGTTGCATGCAACAAATCTAAAGTTGAATCGCTCTCTACTCTTGCAACATTGCGTGCAACAAATTTCATCATGTGAACATGGCTGCAACATTGCTTGCAACATTTTGAAATTTCCAGCCAATCAGCTTGCACCAAATTTATAATTGCTGACCAAATATCTTAACATAGCAGGCTCACAAAAGCGATGTTGCGTGATTTTGTTGCAATGTGTGTCACCCCGATTCAAATTTGTTGCTTGCAATGTTGCGTGCAATGTTGCACCGTGTGTAAGCACCTTTACTTTTACTATCTGGCCGATATGATTATCTAATTTAAAACACTGTGTTTTTACTACTATGTTTTCTTCTATGTCGTGTGTCGTGTTTTTTTTTTTTTTTTTTTTTTTTTGTTTCTTTTTTTTTTTTTTTTTTTTTTTTTTTTCGCTCTCGCTTTTAACTTATTCATTTTTATTATTATAAGATGCTAAAAAACAGCCTTTTGATTCTTTACAGACTAGAAAGAGAATATACTCGAGTGAAGCATAAAGAAGCAGAAGATAATGAGGAAATTCGTCGATTGAAAACGGAAAACAGATTACTGATGCAAAGAATAGACGAATTAGAACAGGTCAGTAGCAAAGCAAGAAACACTAACTATAAATATATAGCTATTTCAAAAAGATTGGTGAAGGCTTTGTTGCCTGGGAGATGGGAATCCAATCAGCGAATGTCACTGACAAAGATATGCAATTTTACCAAACTTTGTCTGCACTATTATTCAATCAATCAATCAATCAATCTTAATTATTAGTACCCTAGTTACAATTGTAATTTAAAAATATAAGAATAAACAGATTTAAGGGTACAAGCTGTCTATAATAACTGTAGTAGCTAACCAAGATAAACAGCTGCTATTTGCATTAAGAATAGTATAAATTGGGTCTTATTAGGATAATAATAAATAGAATAAATAATAATATTTAAATAAAAACATAACAATTACAAACTGACAAGGGAAGACAAAATTTAAACATATCAAATAACATAAGAACAAAATAAAACAAAAGTAAATTTTATATATGATTTAATATGATTTAAGCATATCTTCATTTTGTGTTGACATTATTTAGATATGAATATGATACTTTCAAGCTGTCTGCAACATGCATGCAACAAAATCTTCACCAACCTTTTTATAAATAGCTTTAAATGTAAATGTGATATATTAGACCGTAAGTAAGACTCCTAACTAAGAGAGCGTTTTTCCAAATGTATGCGTTTCGTATGAAAACGCTCAGCTTTTTTTATCACGTTAGTGTGGAGCGAGGCCAAAACGCATTGAAAAGTATCCGTTTTCAAACGAAAGCGAATTAGTGTGAACGGTGTCCAAAAGCGGGTTTTTCCTGGAATTTAGAAGAGGTCATATGAAGCAACACTTAAACCCGGAGAACTATCCCAGAAACACAAGATAGACAACCAACAAGCAAATTATGGCCGATCCGGGGATTGAACCCATAACCGACAATAGTGGGTGAAATTTAAGGCGGCGCATTTTCAGCGCACACCACCCATGTTTTATACCCGATAGAATTTACATAGATTATAAGATTTTAGTTAGAAACAATAGAGGTGTGTCAAGCCATATGGGGAACTTTCTAACTTGACTACCGGCATTATAGGATATTTTACTACTTACGTAGTATGCGTTGTCAATTTCTTCTTAATACTCATTCTTAAAGATTTAAATCGGTTTCTTCAAAGATAAAATTTTCGAAAACATATACACTCAATTGAAGAATCGTTGTCGGGTTCAGAAACATAGAACATAGAAGCTGAGGCCGAAATGGCACATGGGAAGTACGTTAATTAGATGCGTATTATGACCGGCGACCCGTGGCATCATCCACTCTCAAACGCAAGTCTTCTGAATACGCGTTTGTCATTCTAAACTGACTGCATAGATAACGCAAATGAATAAATTATAATATAATTGTCATTTCCCATGTGCCATTTCGGTCTCAGCTTTTATGTTCTATGTTTCTGAACCCGACAACGATTCTGCAATTGAGTGTATTCGCTTCCAACAAGAACATTAATATGTTCATTAATTATTACTAAAGCACAAAAACACCTTAAAATTGACTTAAGTCATGATTATTGATTCTTGTTTTAACCGTCCCAGGAATGTTCAAACTTAGCTGATAGGCTTATTCAAGTAAGTGTCACTTTATTTTTTTGTCTTTGTTCCTTTATATGGATTTTGTTTTTATTTACTCCTTCATCCCCGCCCTTGTTCGAGTGAGGACCTCGAGAATGCTGTTAAATCTCTTTTTAAAGTATCTGAACCCTTTAGAGGATAGAAGTAAATTTATGAAAACGCTGGGACTGGCAAGGAAAATATTTTATAACATCTCAAACTGAAGGCTACAATTTAAAGTTGATTTTATGCATATTGTTTCTCGTATCCATTAGGGTCAAGTAACACGCGCTCAAGAACAAGAAGAGATCTACGCGTTACGGAATGCCCTGGCTGTAACAAAACGTCATGATAAAGACACGAGTGCAGCATTAACAGAAGCTAACCTAAGAATAGAAGAACTGACCATGTTTAAGGTATTTATCATAAAGCGGTTTCGTATACAATATTACACGGTTGATATGTATTATGAATTACGACATAATGATAACAGTGAGTATTCAGAGTCGATGTTATGGTGTTTCATATTCATTCACATTAAAGTTTTATAATAATAATAATATAATAAACTCTTTATTTAAAGAGGGTAGCACGGAATAGTTAAAAAAATAGCTAATAAACTGGTGGCCCTCTAGTTTTTACCACTATTGTGAATTTTCTCGCTTTCTGATTGGTCTAGAGCCGGGGGAAATAGGAGGACACAAAGATAAATTAGGTCAGCTTGAAACCCCGTTCAGATTTACGCTTGTTTTTGTAGTAAAAGTTTTAATTTTTTGGTGGGGAAAAATAAGCCTCGCAATGACGTAATGAAACAATGCTCCATTAAACGCATCTTTGCACACACAAAGGAGGCTTTCTACTTTTAATTTCTGCATATGATTAGTACAGTTATGCAAAGGGTCTAATAAAATGTTGTTTGCTATGATAACATACAACAATGTTGTACAGCAAAAACCTCAAGACTGATTCAGGAACAACATTTGGTACCGAACCTATCAGAACGTTTTTGAAATTGCGAAAAAATTAGTTATCCGTCCTCATCATCCACTGGCTCGTTTTGCTACTGATTTATTCGCATTTCAAAATTTTTGTTTCTTTTAGAGCCACGTTGTCAGTGAGCTATCCAAACGAGAATGCAAAAACCAGCCGAGTGCAAGAGACATGAAGATAATAACTATGCAGGCAGAAATAGAACAACATAGGTTAAGAGATGTCAAATCTAATCAGCTAATTGATGAAATGGCCAAGACTATTCACGATTTGGAAGATCAGGTATGAAATTAGTTAAATTATTATGTAAATGATTAGTGTCTCAGTTCGTATCTTCCCCTCGAGCGCTTTTGATACTTCAGTTTCGTATTCGATGCGTATAATAATACAGTAAATAATAAATATCATTAGCATATACCAACTTGTGTACTTCCTAAGAACGCGCGCGCTCATTGGTTAATTGGAGGTGAATATTGTACGATATTCACCTCTGAATCTCGCAATATTGAGTAGGCAACAAAATGGCATCTGCCGGCAATCGTTTTCCGATGAGGAAATTGAAAAAATGTAAGTAAATGCCATTCCTATCAATACTAAAAAGGCAACGAAGTATGGCCTAAAAGTTTTGCTAAAAGTTTTGCGTGAATTTGTCACGCAAACTAAAACTTTCTGTTTGTTTGTTTTTATTGAATTATCGTATATGAAAATAAGTTACTCTGTACACAAGTTGGTATATGCTAAAACAATTATTCGCCTCAGGCTCAGTGAATATGGAGAATATTTACCTCGCCGCCCAAAGACTCGCGTCTCGGTAAATATTCCCTGATATTCACTTCGCCTTCGGCGAATAATTGCTAAATATTGACTAATTAATAAAGCTGAACTTTTTTCCAACTATCTATCTACGTAGTTAATATTTACATTGCCAGAGGGGAACCCATGGCATATTTACATTATAAAGAAACTAAATTTCTATTCTAGCTATATAATGAAAGTCAAACTAATTTAAGCTGAATTAAACTAAACTAAATATAGCTTTGCAAAGCGCAGTTTTTGAAGACCACAGACTCATTTTTTACAGGTTTAGCCTCGTTCAGCTATTCATGAACGTCATTAAAAGTGCGTGGGATTTTGAAAGCTATGGCTGGCACATTCGTTAGATTACGGTTGGCTTTTGCAAATGATTTGCTCTCAAAACGAGGCTAAATTAACCTATGCAAATGAGAATTTAGTCACAAGAGGCAGCGGTATTTATGCTATGGGAAAAGGGGCTATTGGTAACTAGAGACTGTTGTTGATGTTCCCTCCGTAAGACATTCGGTCGCCTGGTACGACAGGTAACCATTAGGGCTTTTCTTTCGAAGGTCACGAGAAGGCAACATTCGAGGGGACTCTCAGTTTCTTTAAACCCTCGCTACACAACAACAAAAATCGACGCAACTGATATAATTATCTTAAATGGCATACATTTATGGCATAGTTTTGAAGCGAGCTAAAGCTAAAATTGTGCTACTGCCCTAGAAATGTTGTATAATGAGTGTTATTGCTTCGTCACTGGACTGCCGCATGTCAAAAAATAGTCATGCGTTCTCATTTGGTTAATTATGGAAATGGGAAAATTTCCACTCTTTTTGCCATTCTGACGAAGGAATCTTATTTTTCAGGTATTTATTCTTAAAAAGGAAAAGAAAACGTTGGAAACTACTTATCCTCAAGTGACGTTTACAGGTTCACAGGAGAGCGAAGAAGCAAGCGCCAAATAGGTAGAATGTCTCCCCGTGAAGGCCACCATTACGCAGTGGAACTTTCTTTAATTGACGACTATCACAGCCCGCTAATTAATCCAAAAAATTCTTTGCAGAATTAAAATAGACAGGGTACTCAGGTCGGGAAAAACTGACTCTTAATTAATTGGTAAGAATTTCATGCGTTTCATGTCGAACTCAGATTCTGCCCGCTTTGTCGAAATTCTGCGACCAGTGCTTATTTATACACCAAAATTTGAAAAACGCTCTCGGGTTGAAAATATTCAACCGTCAAAGCTAAGACTGAGGGTTATTCTGAGTAGTCGATATCCTGGGCATCTGGAGAATGTTTGCATAGAGACGTATACATGAAGAGTGCGAAAAAWGCTTTGTCCTATAGTTTGCATCAATATTTGATAGCTGCAAAACTGCAATATGCATAATAGTAGTCTCATTAACTGTTTACCCAGAACACCCTTTGGTCTTAGCTGCAAAAATTCAACCTTTTCAACCCGACATCGTTTTTTGATTGGACCCTTCTCAAAAGTATCGTGGATGCTAGGCTAACATGAAAATACAAAAGATGGAATTTGTGGCATTTCTTTTCCATTTCTATGTTAGCCTCGCATTCAAGACAATTTTAAGAAGGGTGCATTTGGTGAATTCGCACTTTAAAACAAAGAGAAGGTAGACTACCTCCAAATATGACCGCGACAATGAATGGAGTGAATCCGTGTTAAAATGAAAAACAAATTTCATACCCATTATAAATTGTTAAATAGACCTACAGCGAGGCTTTAGTCCTCTTCTGGAAGTATTATAATAATTCATGAAAATAAATATGAAAATCACGAACAGGAGAGTTTTAAAAATGCTTTCCTTAGTGAATATTAACGTTTTGGAAATCTTTTTCTTTCTAAATATTGACGAAATGACAAGATTTGGATTTTGCTTTAAATTTCTCACTCTTTCTTTCTCTATCCCGAATAATGAAAGTCGTTTCACAAAATTTATTTAAAAAGTAAGCATGGTGTGTCTTATCATTTCTGAACTTGCTTCAGTTTTAGTTCGCTTGGAGGACGAGTTCTGATAGTTTGTACTAAGAAATTAATAGTAGCTACTTTAGATAATTAAATAAATTAATAAATAATGTACCAAATTGTAACAGTGCGTTAAAATTTAAAACGAATTTTGTCATAAGCTGACAAGATGTAATTCTCGCCTTTTCGGTGACGTAATTTTGTATTCAAGTTATGATTAATTTATAAGATTATTGTATTTATTATTATTTTCAATGGATAGTAATATTTTACCTCTTTATTATATGATTTATACCTCGAAACAATGGCTACAAATCGAGTTTGGACTTGGTGTGTCCATTTTACCGTATTTTATCTACCTAAACCTGAGTCATTGTTTCGTGGTCACTCAAGCGAGGACTGTTAGTCCATGCGCGATGCTCCTTGTATACCTTACAATGTAAAAAAAATATTATAATACAGATATTTTATTTCTTAAGACGACAAACTGAAATTCAAATATTGAACCCATAGTGGGATCCCATTAGTCTCTCATCAGAGAATTTAGTTTTAATGTTAGTATTAGGATCCAATTCCTCATTAGAGTCTAAAAATAATGGCAAAATGTTATTTGAGACTTCTTCTCCTCCTGAAACAAACAGAATACTCCATTTTGCAGTTCCGTTCAGTGACCACGAGTAATAGTTCCAAGTCGAGGTTGGAGTTTCCGCGCATTGCAAAACTATAGTTTATCATGTGCGGCAACTCCAGCCTCGGCTTGGAAATTATTCGTGGTCACTGAACGGAACTGTAAAATGGAGTTTTTCGAACAATAAATCTTTATGTGAAAACCTTCGTACCGAAAGTCGTTTCACGACAATTGACGTCCCGCTTAGTGAAACTCCATTGGCTCAAGGCTGACTTGTTCGTTTTATGTTAAGAAAAGAGTGCGCTCAATAAACGCTACCAAACTCTTTGTTTTGTGTTGCTTGATGGTGTTATTTAGGTAATATAAGTAGGTTTTTGTTTTCAGGATTTCATTTGTGTTCGCTCTAGCTTTCTCTCGTTTATATTTCTGTTCTCGTAGGAAACATTCTTTACCCTTCTTAACCCGAGTACTCGGAAAGGTTGCCACATTTGTAAAATAGTGCATTATGTATGCATTAACCCATAATTGAAAAGCTATAAAAGACAGGTCCAGTAGTGAAGGAATTCAAACTCTGTCCACATCAGGGTCAATTTGATATCAATCATTCCATCATAATGTGGCTTGGATCCAGATTTTTCTACTGGCTATTTCAATATTTTCATTTGCTAAAAATATTCAGCGCCTTCCATGCATGGATACACTTGTTACACATAAAGCATTAAATCTAGGCTTCAAGGTAGTTTCAAAGAATTATTCAAATTTGAACCTTTGGGCCTCGGTTACATCTTTCGTATATGGGAGTTTTAGATTGAAGTGTTTTCTTTTTTTTTTTTTTTTGTTGCATACGTCAAGCATGACCACATTTTCATCGTTTTCATATGAAGTGTCATTAACGTTGTCCACCAAAAAAAGACATTTACACATTTAGACATTTAGACTAAAAGAAATATCACGTGTTTCCTCGAAGGTTCTGGCATAAAACAAATGCTGAAATACCATTCTCAATCTTAAATCCTCACTAAATGGTCAGGGCATTCTGGATTTTCGATTCATGAGTTGAATTTTACATTTAAAGTTCAGGCTGACGCACACAGGACAAAGAGTACATAATGAAACACGTGATATATCTTTCAGTCTAAATGTGTAAATATGTAAATGTGTAAATATCTTTTTTCGGTGGACAACGTTAATGACATTGACTGTATTTTACTTTACCTTTTGCAAACCCTCTCGGCCAAGAGGAAATGTTTTGTTTATCTATATTTTGTGATTCTTTTTAACTAATTTTAAAGAATTCGTCACTGGTACGACTGACATTTCACATTTGCCGTAAACGTGACTCAAAAACCAATGCCAATGCATTAAAAGGGTTAAATTAATGACAAAAAACTGTGACAAACATTCTAAAGCAGCTGGCAAACCTTTGTTGAAAATATCAGCTATCGTAACCTCTTTTTGATTTTCACTAACAGAAAGTTTCTGGATTAACCATAGTTAACCATAGTTCCCCTCTATTAACTATGGATTAACATAGTTATAATAGAAATAAATGTAATCTTGTATTAATTGTTTCAATCCTTTAAAACCGAAGAAAAATAGTTCTTGTCTTTTCCCAATTATTCATAAGACAAATATAGTTCAAACTTTAGATTTTTTGTTCAACTTTCTTAGTGAACTGAAAAGGTTTTAATTAGGTAAATCCTTTCATATTCCCCCAAACCCCAGCATGCGAAGGCTAAGATAATCTTAAAGTCTTAATCTTAATCTAAAGTCCCACCAATACTTTTTGTGCCGTTTTTACAACAAAGTCTATTGAATAAACTCATAGTAGTTTACCTGATTATTACTTATTTATCGAAATAGTCGCAATGTTAACTTAAGTACTGTCAAGATTACGGCTATCAAAAAAAGTAATGGCTTCTAAAACTTTCAGATTTTATCAAGATATTGTGTCACTTGTCTCTCTTCAAAGAAAGTCATGAAACACCGTTATTACTTCAAACGCAAAGCAACACCTTTGACTAAATAAAAGGTAAAATTATTCTGATTTTGCAAATCAATTTATAATACTTATAATCGGTCATAACAATAATTTGTTTTAAACTTAGCCTGCCATTCTGCAGGATTCCAACAGGTTTTTTCAACGATGTTTATCTTTTAAAATTCTATCTTGTTCTTCTACGTTGAGATTTTTGAAAATAACTAAAGAAACTCTTTTTACATACCCGGATGCCGGTCGATGATCCGAAAGCTATACACTGCACTTTGCATAAACTTTGACCCTTTTGTACATATATACAAGTATATCAAAAGTATGGGATATCCTCCCTGATAGTTTTTTCAGAAACCCTATTGATAGACAACTCGAAAAACATATCAGGGAGGAATTCATGTAAATTCAGAAGTTTTATTTCGTTCATCAAAGTCGACAGAAAAAAGAAACTATGATATAACTCTCTGAGTTTATGTTTAATTTGAGCTAAAAAAAGATTAAAGTAAAATGATTGCTTACTTTTTTTCCCCAAGACGGAACTTTAAAATTCTAAAACTCGCTTGCAGTCATTGCTAGGGCTGTCACTGGTGACATATCGGCTTGTCACTTGAAGGAAGGAAATCTTCCAATTCTTCAGTCCATGGCCAACTGAGTGATTCCCCCATTACCAAAACGATGTTAAAACCAAAACAATTATTTTCCCCGGTCAAAATTTTTTTTTGCCATATCAGTTTTCTGCCCTTGACTCTCGAACTACACCAGCTCCGAACTAATTCTGGCAAAAATATCGTGTGGGAAGAAGTTGGAATCCAGAAGCACTGTTAATTTTTTTTTATATCATAGTAACAGGTGATTCGAGGAATGAAATTGACATTGACACTCCGACGAATGAGAAAACTCCCTTCGCACTTCCAACCCCCGGAGATATAGGTCCCTGTTAAGATAAGATAAAACTAACAAATAACAAATAGAAATTAATTATTGAGAGGACAAAAGAAAAGGATATTCTTGTAGAGTAATTTCATCAATAATGATAAAAAGGTAAATTATACACCGTGAAAAGATGAAAAAACTTACTAAAAATCGAAAAATAATCATCCGGAAGACCTTGGTTAAAATATAAATTACGTGTTTGTACCGCTATTATGCTGTGAATTATCAGGTGGAATATTTTCCATTTCTAAATAATTCCTGCTTGGTATTTTTTTATTTATTTATATTCATTTTAATTATTTCATTTTTATATAAGAACGTTGCTGCAATTGGTATTTATCGGAAACGTGATTTTTGTTATCAACAAACGACACCGGCAGTTTTGCAAACTAACAAACAAATACACTGATTAGATGGTGCTTTAAATAAATGTACCTCTCATTAGACTAGTTAATGATTAAATTAGTGCATTTTTAAGTTTCATTTAAAAAGTCTGACATTCAATAAAAGTTTTTTAGTAAAATTATTAGAACTTTTACGGTTCCAGTGTCGTGACCGGTCGTGGAATGCTTCTTTGTTGCGTTTGAGAACTACTTTTATTTCATCTACTTTTTCATTTTAGTTTCTATATTAAATTTTTCCTTCTTAGTAATATTGTTTATTTTTTATTATATTCTATTGATTTTTTTTGGGCCACGAACAACTGAAAAAGCACCATTGAAAGTTATTCATTTGGCGTACCTTTATCGGCTTAGATAACGAAAAGTAAACTCCTTTTCATTTTCATAGCTAATTCAGAAGCTTTTCGTTAGGTGGGCAAAAATGGTTTGCTGAAGAATAATAGGTTCCATTTAGACACACAATAAAAGCTATCAATTTTCACAACGCTTAATAACATCAAAACAGCTTTTAGTCGAGTTTTACCTATAGGCTGTTCTTCTCCTTACCCGGCAATCTTTAGTACTTACGCCACTTCCTGCTCGCTTTATTACTTACCGAAATACGGAAAAAGCTGTTTTACTCCTTAAATAAAACCGAAGACTCGTAAGTAAAAATTGTTTTTAACCTGGTAAACACAATAAATAGTTTAGTAAAACCGAAGTAATGTAAGTTTGTGAGAATACTATTTATAATTCGGTTTTATTAACAGTGCTGGATGTATTCAGTAGTTTGATAATTCCACTTTAAAGTCAGGAATTAAGAATATCAAAATTCGGTTAGTCTTAACTTGGCACTAACGTAGAAAATTGGGGTGGGATGATGCATTGACGTTTTGTTCATTAAGGCTAAATTACCTTCATAAACGACGTTGACGTAACACGTTTCAGCAACGGATCATTAATAAGTTACGACATTCCCACGAATGAAACTTTGAAGTCATTATAAAAGCCATTCGACTGACCGGTCCTATATATTTTCGAATACAAAAAATTAAATGTAAAGTCTTTTTGATTAAAGTTAAATATTAAACAGCCATACACTTTTGTTCTTCGTGATGAAAGTAATTGTTCTTAAGACCATTACAACAGCTAGTTTAACTGAATTCCCATTGTGAGCCGAAAACTTTTGATAAGGTAAAACAAGATCTAAAACGGGTATTCAATCAAGTCACACTAACAATTCGCCTTATTAATTGGCCTGTTTTAATGGTTATTTTCGGTTCCTCTAGGAAGATTACCTCTTATTGTTCATTTTTTAATGGTGAGAATTTTGATTTCAAGCCACACATGCAAAAGTGATAATGATAAAGACCATGCATCAAAAAAGACATTTTAGCTGAGGGCATGTACAATTATGAAATATTGAGATCTATAAAAAAAGTTTAACGACACATACTTAAACATTTGAACACACGTTTATTTGCCACTGGTAATCGATACCTGAAGAAGAAGAGTAGAAGAAGAGTAGAAGAAGAGTAGAAGAAGAGTAGAAGAAGAGGAAGAAATACAAAAAGAGTTCCTTTACCAATCGTTACGAGACTTTCAAGGTACATGAAAGAGAATTCAAAAGTATTTATCAAATTCGAATCTTCACCGAAACAATAAAACAAAATATTTTTTATCACTTCCTATTAGTTAGCGTTTCATTGCCAAAGACTGGAATTCTCTAGAGTAAACGAATCTTTTGATTTGATATAATTATTTATATTGATTGATTTTTCTCCATAGACAAAAAAGACCTTGTGTACAGCAAAGGTTGGTTATTAAGGTACTGGATACACAGCCATGAAGACCTTTGCTCTAATCTTGGCATTTTTGCTGATTGAAGCAACATCGTCATACAGGATCCCTGAATCATTTGGTAAGATATTTTCGTGCATCTGGCAATCGCTTATTTAGCATGATTTTGGTATTCTTTACATTTATTTTATACGTGTATTTATTAGCTTAGTCAAATGACAAGAAAATTCAATTGTTATAGCGCATTACAGTCCTTCGGCAGATTGAGTTGTAAACCTATTTATGTTGAACTTTATGGAAGGCCAGAATAAGTAACCCAAACGCCATGCTTGACATTGGCAGTATCCTGACATTAACTCCATAAAAAACATAATAGAAAACAATAGTTCTCCGCATTAGTCGAATAGCCTATGATGTGAGCACGAGCACGAATATTTAGAAACCTAGTACTTGCCTTTTTTCGGCTCGTCTAACAATTCATTTGACAATTTTCCTTCGAAATTTTTTATGAAAATGCTTAAGAGATGAAATTCTAGTAATTTTTTAATAGTATTTTTTTGTTTTTTTGTGTGTTTTTTTTCTGCTTTATTTTTTGCAGTACTCGGTTTACCAGAGTTCTTTGTGAGCTTTGAAGCACATTTCTGACCTATTATACAATGTCATGCTCAAGCAGTGCCTTGCCGAATTGTGTAAAATCGCTAAGCCTATGTAAGCCAGACAGGTTTTCCAAAGCCGGTTTATATTTATACTTATTGTTTCTAAACTGAAGTGTTCCTTCCAAATGAAATTGAATAGACTAGTTTGAAAATGTCCCTTGTCTAAAATTAATGTTAGGAAAAAGTCACACACACATTCGTACAATCGTGTACAAATAATTGCTGTGGTTTGAAAATGATGGTTAAGCATTTATATCCGTATTAAAAGAGATTTGTTAACTATTCACACGCTAAACTTGAAAAAAATAAAGACGACGTTTCGATGCTAACTAAACGTCCTTGTCAAGTACTCGTGTAACCATTAGCATTAGTTTCGCGGGGACAAATAGATATTAAGAAAGAAAAAACAACCAAATAAAAGAAAAACAGTAAATCTTTCCAAACATCCTCTCTAAAACAAGATCATAAACCTCAATGAAAGTTCCCTTGGATCAGGAATCCTTTGTTCTTTCTGCGCGTGCGCGAGGAAATGCCAGAGCCGAGCTTTTGAAAACGACTGCATTAAAAGAATGAGATGATAATGTCCCAACCTGATAAGTCAAAATGATTTACTGGGGGAATTTTCCTGTTTCGCAAGATTTTAATTTCTTTGCGACCCTCATGAAGATGATGAGAAACATCTGCCGCGTGTACGGAAGATCGCGGTTTGAGACATATGTGTCGCAATAAGTTTTTTTAAATGTATAAATATGTGGAGAAATGAATTTATCGAAGTTAAATTTCAATCGTTTTTCTCTTACGAGGGTATCAAAAATTACCTAGGCAGCATTGGTTTTGGCATTTGAGGACTAACAAAAACACAGGCTCTGACAGCTAGCTCATATACCGCCGGTTAGAATGTCAGAGCTAGTTTCACTAGTGTAAACTCGTCCATTTGACTCCTATAATTCACATGTGAATGGATGCACACTAACATTTTTGGCAGAGGACTCAAACAACTCCTTCGCTTTGAAAGTAGAAATAGAGAAACCTAACGCATGCGCACATTAGTAATTCAATCTTTGTGTTTGTAATCATTTTAATAACCATCATTGCATGGCTATCATTTCAAGTACATGTGACCCTAACTTTTCTTTTTTATTCTTTTATTTCTTAATTCAGAATCGCTGATCGACAGCCAAAGTGATGATCAAGTTACGGATCCTATCGCCATTGATGAAGGTGCGTAATAAGCTCTAAATATTTTAAAGCTATTTATTACAAATTACGATACGTAAACAGCTGCAAAAGTGTGCATCTTAAACCTGTCTCAAAGGATTTTGTTGACGCTACATTGATTCGACAGAATTGAATAAGATCTTGCTATTAATAAAGAAGCGTTCGACGTCGTTTGATATAATTAACTAAACTCTTGGCCAGTTTATACACTTTGCGAAACAACATATTATCATGAAGAGTTGAATTAAGTTCGAATGAGTCTCCCCGGGTTAGTCTCTCTTACCGTAAAAATGCCGCCCGCCATCAACTCACTATCTGGGAAAAAAGAATGGAAATTCTCGTCTCTTACACAGTAAAAGGAGGAGATCAGTCTATAGCGTGAAAAGACCTATGGCCTATCAAAATAATAATTTTGACAAGAGGAAATATGAGGGAGGATTTAGAGAAATAGTAACATAAAACTGACTACTTCGACGATACGGCGGCCATCTTTCGATGTGCCGTCTTAATTTATCTTTTGTTGTTTTCTCTTGTTGTGAGCTGTTCAATGGACGTCATTACTGTAACACAGCTTTATTTGCCCCCTAGCTGTCGTATTGTCTAAGTATTGAGTCCATTGACGTGCGATGGCAAGTTATGTTCGATTTCCTTTGATTCTTACCACTAGACAGAACAGCAAAACTTAAAAGAAATCCCGATACGTTTTTAACAGTCCTTTTTCTTATCCAGGGAAAGAAATACCTAATTTGATCGATGGAGATATCTTGGTCAGCGACCAAATGAAAGAGGATTTAAATAACGATGCATCTCAGATCTCTAAGAGAAATGCTCAGCGGAATAGGAATTACCTCTGGAGCGGAAGCACTGTTCCATACGAGATTGATTCTACTTTGACAGGTACTTTGTCGTTTGCTTTTGATTTCCAAAAATGTTTCGATTAAAAATTGAATAAAAAGTTTGCTCATTAAAAAAWATATATATATATAAACTGTAGAAAAAGTTAGTAATATTTTAAAAAAGAGGACAAGAAAATATCAAAAAACCGGAAGCACAGACGGAAAATGAAATTGAGAAAAAGATGAAACGAGAAGTATAAACTGAAAAGAAACGAGGAGTAGAAATGAGAACAAAAAAATCTGCTACACCGGAATCTACTCAACTGATTTCCATGGCATTTTGTTTTCAGATAAGACTGACCTCATTAACCAAGCTCTAAATGAATACCACACTCTTACTTGCATTAAATTTGTTCAAAGAACTAATCAACAGTATTGGATCAAATTCGTTAAAAAGACAGGGTATGTACAGTTAAACAATTTAGACTTGAGTTGGGGAAGGTACGTTTTTTATTTGTGGAGGTGGAGGGCTGTGGGATTCGCAGTAAACTTTAAAGAATAGTTGTAGCCATCCCCTTTTCACTCAGTAATGAATTCGTGACCTTTCTATGATTGAGTCAACAAGGCAGGGTCGTAGCCACACTGAATTGTTTACCGAGGAAAACGAGTGTCGAAGGTGGTAGCAATAGGAGGTTCAATTTTGAAATTTTGACCCTCGAGCATGCGATTTGCAAAGTTTAGAGAAGCATTTGTGACATTTTACCAACCTTGGTTGCGTTATAGTTGCTACTGCCCTGCAAGGAAACAGCTTTCATGAATATAAAACGGTTTGACCATTCAAAAAGTTTAAATTATTACTGATGACCCTACCCTCTGATGCCACAGTCCTCTTCCCAAATAAGAAACCCTTGGTATTTTGATATTCTTTATGATATTGTTTGCAGACATTGAAAAAAAATGATAGCAAGCAAACTATAAAAAGGAGAAGAAAAAACGGTTATACATTTAAATTTCCTCTTGATTAGCTTAAGAATGGGAAAGCCCTTACCTCGCCATAATTTACTCTACGTTATTTAGTTTCATTGCCCACTGATGAGTAGCGCTCTATTTTGAAACAGTCAATTCAAAAAACGTTCAAGCCAGCAACCATTGATTGTACAATGCGTGATTCTTTTTTTGAATATTGTTATGTACGTCTTCTTAGATGCTGGTCTTTCATTGGTCGTCAGTTCTCATCTCCGGGGGCCCAAGAAGTCTCTTTGGGAGATGGTTGCTACTACAAGAATACCATTGTGCACGAGGTCATGCACGCACTAGGTATAACCAATACACTACGGGGTCATTATTTAAGTCCTGAACTGATAACTTCTTCTCACTACAAAAACAAACAAAAAACATTTAAATTACAGTTATCGAAATTTATCCCAAAAACGCAGCGTGGGTGATATAAGTGTTTTAAATCTATCCAATAGGTGCTTTGCATTATAGCGTCATAAACTAACAATACCAGAATCCCTTTCGCGCACTTTCATTTGTTCCTTTTATTTGCACCAATAAGAAAACTATTTTTTTGAAAAAGATACTTATGTGTAATAAACTATAAATTTACACAAATAGTTAGCCGGAATAAGCCTGAAGCGAGATGACGTTTTTCCTTCGACTCTATACCATAATAGTTTTTAAAATTCTTTCATATTAAAATTTTTGATTCCTTAGAGAATACAGGAACAATAGTCATAATTAAAAAACAAAAGTAGTGTGAAAAGGTTTATGGTCTAGAGACGGGGGTAAAACATCATCTCGCTTCAGGCTTATTGAACAAACATTCTAATGAATAGGCCTATCCCGAATTCACTTGACTGGTCACGAAACAATGGTTTCAAGTCGAGGTTGAACTTGATGAATAAAAGAAACAAGTCCAGTCTCGMCTTCAAACCATTGTTTCGTGGTCAGTCAAGCGAATTCGGGATAGGTCTATTGATGAACAAACAACACATTATATAAAATCGAACAATAGACCTTATTCGTGGTGTGACAATGCGTGACGAACCTCCAGGGGATTCATTTTCCTTTGTTTTTACTCTTTGAAAAATTCATGAGTATCCCAAAGGATACGAACGGAATAACGATGATGTCCCGACGAGTTTCAAAACAATAGCTCTTCATTCCCCCAGAGGTTTGTCACGCTGAACTAGGAAAACATTGTCACACCACGAATATGGTCTATTGACTTTTCTTTCATAAGAGCTCAGTCACAACTGATATGTATATATAAATTTGATTTATAACGTTATTAAGGAATTCCAGAAAATTATTTTCAAAGTTCTCTGCTTTCTATTCGTTCTGTGATAGTTCTCAGTTGATATTCTGTTAATAATAATATAATATAATTTATATCGCGCTTATACATTGCTGTTCTAAGCGCTGTTATGGCGCTGTTATGTGTATTCAATGCTTTGTAAGTTTGAGCTAATTTAATCTCTCTCTTTTTCGTTTAAAGGCTTTTGGCACGAGCAAAGCAGATCTGATCGTGATAAGTACGTGGAAATATACTGGGAGAACATTAAACCAGGTAGTTTGAAGCAAGCTTATTTTCTCCCTTTTATTATAAAATCATTCTTGGGAAGTATGTATTTGCGCATTTTAGATGTTAATTTGTGCAATATAAATAATAAATATATTATCTCACAGATGCATCAATGAACTAATTACTTCTCATATGACTTGAGCTATTTTCCTTTCGTTTCTTTTCGTTTCGTTCATTTTCTTTTCTTTACTCCTTTAGTTTTCTTACCTATCCTAAACGTAGTCTGAAACCATTTGTTAAAAAGCGCTTATTTTGTTTGAAAGTACATTAATTGATTATATTTTGTTTTATTCTTTAATATTTTTAAACATTTATTTATGTTTTTTTCATTATGAATTGCCTTTTTATTGCAATAGCGGCACCATTGAACTAACGGGAATGGTGCTTTATGAATATAATAATTATTACTATTACACATTTAAGGTGGCTCGACCCCCTCACGCTTGACCGCTACCTTCCACTTTTGGAACGCTAGTGCATAAACGTCTTTTATCC